CCTCTTACAGCCAGCGATAGATTTCCAAACTGGAGGGTAGGCCGTTCCTGAAGCGACCGCCCGCTCATATATAAATAATACACCCCTGCCCAATATCAAAGCTCTGACTTACGTTGCTCCTCGCTGAAGTCGAAATGATCCAAGATGTGCTTCTCAGCTCATCATCCCGAGCCTCTTACAGCCGGCGATAGATTTCCAAATTGGAGGGTAGGCCGTTCCTGAAGCGACCGCCCGCTCATCTCCAACAGCGCCTCGCCTCTTTGGGGGACGACAGTCCCAAGTTAAGCTCCGGAGCTGTTCCCCAGAAGCCGTCTCATCCTCTTCTTTCCAGTACTGGCTGAGTCTCTGTGTGTTCAGTCAGGCGCCTGGATTCAAAGGAAAAGGGCCTCATCAAAAATCAAAGATGTTTTGATCCGATTGCAAGTATTTTTTTGTGATTTTTGCGAAAGCGCCCAACTGGGTTTCCTCCCAAATTCCAAAAACACGCATGACAGGTTAATAAAACACTCGAAATTGTCCCGAGGTGTGAGTGTGAGCGCTACCACACCATCAGACAGGTTACACAAGATCCGTTCTTGTATCACAAACAAATATGTGAAGGGTAAAGGACAAAAATCTCATGAAAGAAAACAAGAATTCTCGCTTTCTATTTGAGTTTTTGAGCATGTCAGTAAGGCACCTCGACTTAATTTGCCGTCTTTGGCAGACGGTGAAGGTGTCCGCCCGTCTCACTTCTCCTCCAGGCACCCCACGGACTTTGAATTGGATCTTGCTCTGACTTCAGTCTTATTTTCAGCAGGATAATGCCTCAAGGTTTCTTTTTTCCCAAAATGGACGGGCGTTTGGAACAATTCATAAATCCTTCTATTTTGACAAACGTTCCAGCTGAGGGAAAGAAAAAAAAAAAAAACGAAGATGCTGCCAGCACCGTACTTCGCTGTGGGTGCAGAATACTTCACATTCCAAGGTGTGTGAAAACTTGGATTTGACAGATTTAAAATGATTTGCAGCAACTACGTCAGCAAAAATATGTCGTATTTCTCGATATTTCGCCTTCTTTGTGGCTTGTTCCTCTTTGTTTGTCATTTGTCGGGTCACCCTCGGCAGCAATAAGCGAAATCAAGCGTTTGTCCTTGACATCTCCGTGGAGAGCTTTTGGTCCACTCTTCTTTGCAGAACTGCTTTCGTGAGCATGAACA